CAATTGAATAAATCCTTCTCAAGATATCTTTTCTAGAAGGCGAAAATAACTCGTTTTGAGAAAACGAGCTAACAGTACTTGTCAAAATAAAACTTCAATACCTTAAGATTCGAGTTTCGTAAAAAACAAAACCTCGAATTTCTTTCAAAATTTTAGGTTAAGTCCCGCCTTAAGTGACATGGCGAGGTAAACAAGACAATAAGCTGATTGCATAGAGTGTATTCAGCCAAATATTAGAAGAGGGGAAATTCTTGAACCCGAGACCTTTGGACCTTAACAGGGCAAGTTTGAAAGTTTTACTTCACACCACTAATTTTCTTACCCGGCAAAACAACAAAAACACAGCAAGTTGAAAATCACTGAAGGCAAGTAAAAGGTGCAGACAAAGTAGATGGTTCTACTGTAATACATCTTGACTGTGGCTGCATCAACCAGCAGCCGGACGGCGATGTTTGTTGGGGTGAAAAATCGAGAAATTTGAGGAAATGATTTTGGTCCTATCACTTTTGTCCAGGCTGGGTGTATGTATACAATTGTGAGACTAATGAGAATAATGATAAATGACTGAATCGTGAGCACTGCTATGCAGCAAGAGACCATGTATGCAGCCATGTAATTTTAACAACAAACCTAAGTTTATTTTAAATCGTGATAATTTGCTTTTAACCTGAAAGAAAAGGGATAGTTTCTTTAAAATTGGACGTTGTTTGAAGACTTCAGTGCCCTAACTCATGTGTAATAGAAGTCGGCTGATAGGTTTTGCTATATCGGTCACTTCCTTGTCGGTTTCCGACCGCCTATTCTCTAGTAAAATGTTTAAAGGTGGCTAGTAAGCTGTTTTGTGTAATTTTCAGCTCATAAACTGTGAAGGAATTCAGTAGTTGGCTGTTTATCAAACGAATGCCCAATCACTGGTGAACAAGTAATGGTCATATTCTTGACTTATTAGATTACCACAGCAATAGCATAACCAGTTAAACACCCTTGATCTTAGATCTTAAATTCAGGTACTTATATCTCAAAACGAATTCGAGCTGATGCTATTAAATAATAATCACCATGATACAACCTTTAACAGAGTTAAAAAACTTCTACGGAGGGGGCTCAAATCCACATGAAATTACT